TCAAACTTCAAGCAACAACATTTCATTGTGATATCAGCTGGAAAATACTCAACCGTCCATGTGCATGTTGGTGCCTTGTACTCACCAAAACGATAGGTGCGATGATCCTCCAGCTAAACTCTTTCCATCACAAACAATTTACCCTCTTTGCTGATTTCACGTCAAAACAATGAAAAAATCTTCTGAGTAAAGAGTTCAGCTGTATGTTTCTCCAAACATCTCAATAGTGTAGTCAAAACCGGGAAACTATTCTCTATTTTAGATTATGTTTCTGCCTCATTAACACACATTCTAGCAAGAGCCCTATCATATTGCGCTACAAATTCGTACAGCCTAACCTTTCGATCTATAAATATATTGAAATATGCATTCATACCCTCAACACGTTAAGTGCTCCTCATTCCAGCAAACATCTGACCACAAAGATATGCCTCAGCCCAATTATCATCCTTCAGATGAACATCCAACACCCAGTTATTGTTCTTCAACTTGTACTGTTTCACCATAGCAGCCCAAGCATTGTCAAACTCATCAATTTTACATTTCTTTAACATCAACTGTGCAAAATTAGTTGTAAATTCTGGTATGTGGACATTTGTTGAGTCATTTTTCTCCAGATGCCAAGAACATAAACGATGTCTATAGTTTGGAATAACTCTTTTGATTGCCTGATGCATTGCCCTATCACCATCTGTTACAACGGAGATGGGTCTTTTACCATCCATGGCCTCCATTAACATTTCCAACACCCACGTGTATATCTCCATTGTCTCATCAAGCAACAAAGCACATCCGAATACAGTTGTCATAAAATGGTTACTCACGCTAGCTAGAATTACAAATGGCTTCTTATATGCATTTGTACGATAAGTTGTATCAAATACCAATACATCACCAAATGTAGCATAATCCATTCAAGACCTATAATCTGCCCAGAATATCTTGTCTAACCGGTTGTCCTTATCAGCATTGTATTTGAAAAAAATAATGGATATGCATCTAATTTAGCTGATAAGTATCCTAAAGCACCCTCTGCATCCTCTTCTACGAGTTGTACTTTGCGCTCAGCTTGGAATTGATTGTGCAAATCTTTGTGAATGAAGCCCACCTTCTCATAACCCCCTGACTGGTGGACCATAAAATCCATGATCTGACTCGTTTTCATACCCACATTGCGCATGGCCTTTGCTTGAGCTTGGTCTGCACTTGTTACAAACCTATGCGACCAAAGAAAAGGGACGCAATGTGGTGCTGCCAAGGGATGGTTGTGTTCCCCTACAAAGTAGGTCACAACATATTTCCTAACTGTCTTGTCATAACGCACACGAAATGTGGCACTACAAAAATAGTTTCGGTGTTGTGAGCTTATTTGGGTAATAAAAACACTAAAACGGTGATGTGATTCTCTATAATCTTTACACTTGGTCAGTCTCTGTTAGTAGTTTAGTACACATGCCAATGTCATGCCACTCAATTAAAGAATGAATATCGTTAGGTAGTATTTGAATTTTGAATTTTAATGAAAATTTGTAGAAGATATTAAAAAGAGAATAAAAAGTATTAAAAATTTAGTAATTTAGTATCTCGTGTCACATGAGTCAAGTAAACCAAAAATAACAATGCTATGATTCCAAGAAAAAAAATAATAAAAAAACTCTCCTAAGTTTCATATCAACAGTCAAGATTCATTTAGAATGTGGCCCCACAACAGCAACTTTCAATATACACTATTGATTTGAAATTCATGACAATTTTCTGGTGCTATAGACTTTTTGAACCAAAAATACCCTATTTGCATTTTCAATTTGAAGAAAAAAAATGGAGATAGAAAGGAAAAAAGAACGGAAAAGTAACAAATATTTAACAAATTTTGGTATCCCATGCCATGTGAGTCAATGAAACAAAAATACCTTTAAATTGTATTTGAATCTTGAATTTGTGGACAAAAAGGAAAAACAAGGGAAAAATGACAAAAATTTAATAGTTTAGTACACCATGTCATGCGAGTCAATTAAACAATAAGTATTGATAGGTTATGCTTGAATCTTGAATTCGAATGCGAATTGTGAATAGAAACGAAAATAGACCAAATTAGACAATTTTTAATTCATGCCATTTTTTGACAACACTAAATGGTGGAACAAAGAAGTGGATGATCCCATAAAAAAAATGTTCATATGATTATGATGTTACTAGGCAAGCGCGCTTTCTATTGCCTACCTTGCTAGCCATATCAGCAAAAGATGCATTACCTCCATGTTCACTGTTAATACATATTTTTGTATTTTCAAACAATGTCACAATCAATTTAAAAGGCTGTTATTGTATACCCTGTCAACTTGCAAAACAACCTGCTTTATCATTCAATAAAAGTACTTCTGTTTCTCATGCACCTTTGATCTTATACATTCGGATATTTGGGGCCCATCCCCTACTACTACTATGGGGGGGATCTCGTTATTTTGTTGTTTTTATTAATGATTTTTCCCGGTTTACTTGGCTTTTTCTCATGAAAACTCGGTCTGAATTTAAACACCTTTATTATAGATTTGCCAAAATAGTCCACACCTAATTTTCAAAAACCATCAAACTTTTTTGCTCTGACAATGGTATAGAATATCAGGATTCCGATTTTCTTTCCTTTCTTCAGAGTCATGGTACACAGCCTCATCATTCATGTGCTGGCACATCCCAACAAAATGGCCGTGCTGAAAGGAAACATCGGCATATTCTTGACACTTCTCGTGCTCTCCTTCTCTCTTCTTCCTGCCCTGAAAACTTTTGAGGGGAAGCTACCCTTATTGCTGTCTACACTATCAATTGTTCTCCTACACCTGTCGTCAATAATCAAACTTCCTTTGAACGCCTGCATGGAACTCCCCCTCCATACACCAATCTTCGGGTTTTTGGATCTACCTATTTTTTTCTGCTTCAATCCTACGATCACACCAAGCCAGATCATTACCTGGTTTTGAAATACCTTTGTTCCCTCTACTAGTCTTTAAAAAATACTTGATTTTATATGAACTACTCAAATCCTTTCATTAAAATCTTTTTAAAGACCTTCATCTTATCCAAAATTCCCCTTTTCATCAAATTGATCAAGAAAACCCATCACCAATGCTTCATTTTTTTTTTCTCTCATCAAATTCAAATTTACTTTATTGGTTCTCAATTTGATAAAAAAAAATAACTCTCCCTTCATGAGATTTGATGAAATAATTAGAGATAATTTTTTAATACTTTTGAAGAAAAAAAACAAAAATAACTAAATGGGTATTCAACTAAGTCACAGTAACATCAAAATATCCATTCGTTTCTTACTTTCCACAATTTCCAAACAATTGCTAAAGGTAATACATCCCAAACCATTGTAATTTTCTTTCTAATAGGAAAAACAAGCCACCACAAGAGTAATTGTTACAAACATAAACAAATTTCAATAAACAAAAAAAATATACAGTCTCATATGAGTTACATGAGTACAAAATTCAATTACCCACACATCAGATTTCACACACTCTAGCCAAATTTCAAGTATATATATATATATATATGAAATCAAAACAACTACCAAACAAACATCAAAAACCTAAATTGATTCAAATCATATTTTCCTGATTTTATAAACCAACCTAGTGAGTTCACAATGGTGAAAGGTACAATTTCGAAAAAGGGGATTTCCGTCTAGGGTTTCATAGAATGGAGATGGAGAAAGGGAGAGAAACAAGTTGCAGCGAGAGAGAGAGACATACGTTGAGGCGAAGTCAAGGGCACGTTATGTTCGCGGGATAGTCTTCGCCTATATATATATATATATATATATATATAACAACTACCAAAGCAAACAAAGATAAAAAACCTAAACCTATTCAAATCATATTTTCCTAATTTTATAAACCAACCTAGTGAGTTCACAATGGTGAAAGGGGCAATTTCGAAAAAGGGGATTTCCATCTAGGGTTTCATAGAATGGAGATGGAGAAAGGAAGAGAAACAAGTTGCAGCGAGAGAGAGAGAGACATACCTTGAGGCGAAGTCAAGGGCACGTTATGTTCGCGGGATAGTCTTCGAGGGCGAAGAAGAGCTTCAAAGTCGTGTCTGAAGAAAGCTCCGGAGTTGTGTCTGAAGAAGGCGAAGAGGAGCTTCGGAGTCGTCTCTGAAAAGAGCTCCGGAGTCATGTCTGAAGAGGGCAAATAGGAGCTTCGGATTGGTCTGAAGAATAAGGGTTTTGGGAAAACAATGTGAAAAGGGTTTGTGGAACATACAACAATCAGTGAACAAAATTGTAACCGGTTGAGAGGGTATTCAATATTTTCAATCAAATTATTTAATGGTTGAGATTAATTTATAAATATCTAATGGTTTAAAATAAATATGTACATGATGTGCACTATTTAATAAGGTGTACATCTTAGCAGCTCCCGTGTGTTATTATTATGCAATATGAGTACAGTTATCTATCTTCTATATTCTATCTTCTATATTATATAAAACAAATGCTCAAATTGGTATTTTGAAGTCTATATTTTAAATTACACAAATATTTTGATCATTAATTTCAATTTTAACTAATTTATCTTTATTAATATTGTAAAAATAATAGCACTCCAATTACAAAACAATTAAAACTACTCAAATATTTTATTTTATTTTTTTCATTTTTATATAACTATAATTATCCCAACCTATTGGACTGAAGAAGCCCAATTCACAATCCCTCAAGCCCAAATTCCGAAATCGGGAGCGTGGGCCACGCATGTCAAGTCGCGTGGGGCCAACGGGGCAGAGATGAATGATATCCGATCCGACGACCTTTATATCATCGTCTCTGTCTCTGTCTCTGTCTCTTCTCTCTCTCTCTCGTTTCCAAAGCCTCCATCTTTGAAGCTCTTCACCCCCCAAAACACAGATCTCTCTCTCTTCATCCAAACCAACACTCACAATCTCTCCCTCAATCAAAAGTGACTTTTGATTCTGCAAAGCTTTAAAGTCTCCACATGGCTATAGCTTCTGATCAGGCCACCTCCAGCATCTGCAGTCACTGTGACAGAGCTATTCCTTCTTCAAATATTGATCTGCACTATGCTCATTGCTCCCGGAATCTAGAACAATGTAAAGTTTGTGGTGATATGGTTGCAAGAAAATATGCTGAGGAACATTTCTTAAGCACACATGCTCCGGTATCCTGTTCACTTTGCAGTGAGACAATGGAACGTGAGATTTTGCCCGTGCATAAAGGTGAAAATTAACAGCCACGGCTCTCTGGCAGAGAAAATTCTCTATC